TTGATTTAATGTCCTTGTCAGTAAGGCAGCTCAGTGTTCCTCACAGCTTATTTGTTTTCATCTAGGAAATTGAACCAATCTTAAGATGCTGCCCATCTTTTCATTATCATGCAGAAAATTTAGCTCCCCAGAGAAGAATCATCATTTCATTATTGCTTTTCCTTACTCAACTACATCATTGCTTTTTCTTACTACAACTAGGTGCATCTTCAAGAAACCATTCTATAGGATGACTGACACAAAGGGAGCGTTCTGAGAATGTTCATGTTTTTCAGTAATTTTTTTAAATCTTACGCACTTCAAAGTTTTAAAAATCCAAAGTTAAATAATCAAGGCAGTCTGTTACAGATAAAATGGGGTCATTGAAGTTTGGAATAGCTAATTAATTGGAAAGAGATATTTTTTCCTAAAGAGATTTTTTTTCTTCAGTTCTTTTACAACCATTTTTTATTGATTTACTAGTATTCTATTTAAGGAAAATGAGGAACATAAGTTAAAATGCAGTAAGGGACATATAAACAGTATTTGTTCGCATTCTACTCTGCCATACACCATTCTAAGCTCTTTACCTGCCTTATGGAAGAAATGTGGGCTTCTGTGCTCCCCACAGATCCTTGAGACATAGCACTGATGGTGCCTGTTCTGCCCCTCACCTGCATAGCCATGGTGCTCAGGAAATAGTAGCTATTATTGTTTTTATTTATTTGCACCGTTACTCTATTATCAAAATGCTTCTATTGTTGTGTTGCATTAGGTTTAATTCCATGTCAAATTGCAGGTATTCAAACACTATGTAACAAGTTTTAAAAAAAATATATAGGAAGTTTGTTTAACCAATAAAGATTTGCACACCTGCTATGAGATGAGATTTAAAGTATTCTGAACTCTAAGAACCATCAGTCTATTTGGGAGAGACAGTTGTCAATAAACAATATGCTTGCTGAACTACCAGACTGTTGGGGCACATAAACTGTACAGTCTAAACACAGAAGTGTTTAGGTTTACCTAAAAAATCATCCTCAAACACTTCTTTAAAAATATATTATTTTCTCTGCAATTTCATGAATGTTGTGTCCTAAACATATGTAAGTATATAAACCAGCATGTAAGCAGATAATCCAGCCATTCATAGGAAGCACAGGTATAATAATCTTTGCAAGGTAATGGCAACAGGATGTGTGTTGATGGAAAAACAACATCAAAAACAGGTAAGGAATTTTTTTAATGGCAAATGATAGAGAAGCTTATGGGGACAGATAAATCAGGCAATGACACAGCATGTGGAGGTGTGGCTTTAGACTGTCCCATGGAGAGACACAGCTGAGGATTGGTATCAGGTATGAGTGCTCCCCTTGCTTTCATCCTGACCCAAACTTCCTCCTAGGATCAACTTGATGCCCCCTTGATTCTCTGGACACTTGCTTCGAAGCTTACTGCTAATCCAGAGCAAGTGTCTGGTGCAAATAAATCACAACCAATTCCTGGTGGTGTTTGCTGTGAGGTGAATGTCAGTTTCCAGAGTTTTCATCAGACCAGGCTCCAAACATCCAAGGTTATCCCTGAAACCACTTCTCTACACTTGAAGCAGAACTGTCTTCTTCAGGTCTCACCTGTCATTAAGTCACATAATTGCAGCTTAGTCTGAGACTTGCTCTTTTGTCTTCCAACTAGTCTTCACCTCCAGCTTTCCCCCAAAATAATGGCATTGGACAGGACAGCTTCCTTTAACCAGATAGATCAGAGTTAGAAGCTATTACTTAATAGCAGTGTATTCTTCTGAATGATTTTTGTTTATACATCTCAATTTCCTCATCTGTAAAGTGGAAATAATCATACCTAACATGCAGTGATTCCATGAGATAATGTGTCCAAAGTGCCCAGTGTAGTTAAATTTATATTATTTCCTGTTTTTCTTACTGTAAAATTGGACGTACCCAATTTAAATCCCTCTACCACCTTTCTGTCAGTGTATTGAGCTTCACAATGCTGATGATTGTCTATTCCATGTTTTTCACACACATACCTATGAAAAAGCCTGTCTTAAAATTTGAATGAACTGAAACTTTAAATTCTCCAGGTATGTTTATTTGTGACTTAAAAAGTCTTTTAGTGAAAAATATCAAGATCATCATCAAAAAGGTAACAGGTCTGTGAGATATATTTAGACATTTTGGAAAATGTGTAAACTTTTTGTGTTCACATTAGGCATATTTGAGTTTTTATACAACATGATATAAATGTCCAAACTGACTTGTGATATCTCAGGGTCTCATTCTTTTTTAGGAGACTGAAGCACACATTTGGCAGTGAGGTAAATTTTTTTTGTTATGTTATAAACCATCTAAACAGAAAGTTACTGAAGTTCTAGAAAATCTGTTCAAATGGAATTGTGTCTAGATGTGTTTTGTACTACTTAACATAGCAAATACTTCTTTAAATAAAAAATTAAAAATATAACAATCATTCCCAAATTAAATTCTTAAACTACTTTACATTTCAATTTAATCTGGCAAAAATGCCAAATACTGCAAAAGACTCTACAATTACAACTAAGGGGTGGTCACTGACCTCAAGGAACTGTTTAATAAGAAACAAAACAAAAGTACAATTAATTGTAAGATAGAATAGATGAGCAAATTAGAAAACCAGAAATACCTACACTAAACGGTAAGGTACATAAAAAATGATATTTTTTCCCACTTTTTCTGTATAGGTCTAAGTATTTATTTTTATCATTTTGTTTTTATAATTTGGGGTATAATACTTTGTGTGTGTACGGGTGCCTTATTTCCTGCTTCTTTCATATGACATCTCCTGAACATTATCTCATATCCTAATTTTGTTAAAAATATTTTTTAATGATTATGAGATATTTCATCACGTGAGAGCATCTCAATCATTCTATTGTTGACTATTTAGTTGGCTTACTCACTGTATCGTCTTGGCAGAATGAAGAGCACATATCATGTAACATTTGTTTTAGACTGTTTTCTACTGTAGATACAAGAAAAAGGTAGTGTCAGGTCATTATATTGTACTGGTTTATACATAAAATGGGTCAACAGTACTATTCAGATTAAATGTAAAAAACCTTAGAGTTTTTTTTTAATTTCTTATTTACTAATTTTGCTTGCTATTTACATATATACCCTATACATGGTTTTCATAATTTTACCCAAGAGAAATAATATATTGTATACTGGCCATTATTTCCTTTAAAATATTTCTTTATCATAAGCCTGTTGTTTTGTTCTACTAAAAGTATAGGTTTATTGACAGTAAATTTGAATATGGGGGGCTATTCAGATTGCATTTTACCTATTATTTTTGTGTCATACTTTCTATACCCTCATCTTTGATTTTATTACAATATTCTCTTTGGAGTATGTCCTTATGTATCAATGACTTTTAGTAGTTTTGCAGTATAAATAGTGCTATCCTGTATTTCATTGCATTGTTTTTTGTTTTTTGTTTTATTGTTGTGCTGGGTGGGGGTACACTGTGGCATTTATAAAAGTTCTTACAAAAAGAGACTTATAATAGTTTACTGGGATGCTGTAAAGAGTAAATTATTTAAATAAATGTAACACACCTACACAATATCTGACCCTTAGTAGAAACAGAATAAATAGCAACTTCCTTTTCTTTCCTTCCTCTTTGTACCACAAGTTGGAGCATAAACTGGCCTGTAGAAGATTCTATTAAGGAAACTCCTCTGTCACTTATAGCCTTTGTAAAAGTAAATGTATTTGCCAGGGTATCTCCCCCATTAAATGGATCGTTAGACTACGGTGACTTCTAAGGTTTCATTCACAGGCTGTGATTTTAAGATTCTGAAACAGTGGAAATAACTGGTAAGTTTTGGTAGGTAGTACAGTCTCAAGTTTAGGATTGATTTTGACAGCTAAATCATAAAACAGATGTTAAAATATTTGCAAACCCTTATGAGTTATTTTTTAATTGCCAGCTCAGTCACCTTAAGAATTTAAGCTATACTTATATTCTTATCTTAGATTTTGTTTCAATTATAATGATTTAGTTTGTGTATAAAAAGTAATTCCAGTTCTGTATAATGTGAAAAAATATTCAGTGAAACTCAAGTATAATCTGTTTTGTTTTTTCATTTTCATCTGTTTTTTTTTCCCATTTACATAGACTGTATTCCAATTCTTATAAGATTTACAAAAACAATCTCCTTCCCATCAGAAGTTTCCTTCTCAATAACAACAAAGGTTGTGTCAAATGACTGTTTGATGGATAACAATATAAGCTAGCAAGTTTATTGATATCCATTCTTTAACTTTGCACTTAATTAGTGGAAAAATTACAAAGTCAAGATGCTTTCCACAAAGGTTCTTCTATCATAGCACCTACTTCTTTTTCCTCATGATTTCTGCTTCCTCTGCTGTGAGCCCTGGAAGAAAAGAGGGAGAATTGATCTCATTTATTTTACTCTCAATGGCCTGTTGCTACTTCCTTGCAGCGTGGGCTTGAGTTTTGTTTCAGGGTTTTGTATGTGGTCTCCTTGTTTCATGCACAGACACTCCCGACGTTGGATTGCAATGGAGGGCAGAAACCATTGAGGAGCACCCAACAGTGTGGCTTTTGTTCCAGTTGCCTTGTGATGTTCTAAGTTGGCTCAAACTAGGCCTGTCTGAGCAGAATCTTGGGGTGGGGTTTCGTCTTCAGAGATGAAAAAGATTGACGGAATCAGCCTTATGCATTAGTCATTCTCCTTGGGCTTGCTCTAATTCTTTAAAAAGTTTTCATTGCAGTTCGTTTTATCCTTCATTCAGTAGTCTGGGCCAGATGTAGCCTTCTTCTCTGACCGTGCTTCTGACCCTCACTTTGGGCCTCTGCAGTTTCTCTTCTCCACCCTTAAGGGGCAGCCTTGATCTAGAATTTGAAGATACCTATTTTTTGTTGTTGTTGCTGCCTGAACAAATTGCCACAAATTTGGTAGGTTAAAACAACATAAATTTATTATCTTATAACTGCAGGTCTGGAATCTGATACGTCTCACTGGACTAAAGGCAAGGTATTGACAGATGTGTGCTTCTTTCTGGAAGATTCTCTAGAAGACAATCTGTTTCCTTGCCTTTTCTAGCTTCTAAAAGCCACCCACAATCCTTGGTTCATAGTTCTTCCTCCATCTTCAAAGTCATTGGATTTCTCTGAACCTTCTGCCATAGTCATGTCACCTGCTCACTGACGACAGCTGGAGAAAATTATCCAATTTTAAGGACCTACCATTAGATCGAGCCACCTACATAATCCTGGCTACTATTTCCATCTCAAGGTCCTTGATCTTAGTCACACCTGCAAATTCCCTTTTGTCATGTAAGGCAACATATGCTCAGTATCAAAGGATTAGGACGTGGACATTTTCAGGGCAGTTGTTTTGCCTTCCATAATCCCCTTGTCTTTTTCTCAGCAAACCATACTAGTTTGGAGACTTAAAGGAAATCAACCATTCTTCTTCTTTCTTACCACAGTGGACCCAGGATACAGTTAGTTTCAAATCATAAAACCCAGTGCATCTGCATCTGGATCAAAGCTTCCCACCTGACTGATCTCTTGATTTGGACTTGGCTGTCTCCTTCCTCTGCTTCCCCCAAGCAGCCCTAGGTCTTGTTCTGAGATGCTTTTTTTCACTGTGGTCCTTCATCTGCTGGCGCTCTTCCTGTAACTTTCCTCAACTGCTGGTATCAAGCATACACTGTGGATGCTCTGTAGAATTGGCAGTGGAACCTCAACGATTAGTCTGGAGCTCCTAAAACCAGACCGAAACTTTTTTCAATTATTCATTCGGATGTACAAGAGGTAAGGCTAATTGGATTTAAACATATGGCATGGACATGCTGTGTGATCATTGCTACATACAGAATGGGTGTATATACACATGTATGTATTTATATGTGTACGTGCCTGAGGGAGCCAGGGCGTAACCTTGCTAGGTTCTATTTTTGCATGCTGTTCATGGAAAAAGCTTTGTCTGTGAAGTTTTTATATGAAGATAATACATGACACCACCTGTGTTTTTCTTCTCACTGCTTAGTTTTAGAGGGAACCAATAGGAATCAGAATATGGCTGACTCTTACTGGGTATATGATCTTATACAAATTACTTAACTCTTTTTGGGGAGCAGTGAAAGGGGATGAACTCAGGATCTTGTGCTTCTCTTATAATCCTCAGCTTTCCTATTGGTAGTACCTAACTCACAGGATTGTTGTGATCCTTGAATGAATTATTAATGTTAAGCTTTTAGAAGGAGGCCACCATATAGAAAACATTCAACAAAAATATTGTAATATATGACCATCACAATTGATCCTCACTCTTTCTTGACTCACACATCACTTTTCAAATTTTTTGATTCAGGTTAGCTTTTCTGTCTTCTTCATGACTGAGGAGTTGCCACTAGATGCTAAGGAAACTTGTGGCCCCCTGTTGTATTGCATCAGCGGATGCACAGGAAAGCCAGGCAGGTACAACAGCCATATGTGGGAACGTGTGTATTAATGTGTAGGAGTTATCAATTCCTGTCTTGATAATTTATAATGCTCATATTGTTCTTTACTTTAAATCATGTATTCATTGTTTGTAAATCTTGTAAAATAATTTGGAGAATAGTAATTTAAATGAAACTCATTTTCCATGATTAAAAGTACTTTCTTTCAAATTTGTTGTAGACAAAATGTACAAGAAGTTCTTTTCAAAGTTAGTTTATCAGCCACATGTGATATCTGCTTATAAATCTTCAGTGAGTTTGGAAACATTGCATAAATGTTGCTACATATAAATACTGTTAAATTTAGAATGTACTAAATACGAGCATCCTTACCTTAGTCTCCAGTGAGGAAAAAGAAACCTGAGCTATATCAAAGTGAACATACTCCTTTTAGTAGAAAAAGCATAATTTCAACTTTTTAAAAATCATTGGAAGAACAAATCTTTTTTTCTACCAAGTTTGATAGGGTATGTATATTTTTAAATTTTAGTTTTGTCAATTGTAGTGAATAGTTGCAACTATGTTCTTGCATAATTTTCTTCCAACTTCTTGCTTTATAATGTAGATATTTTCTTATAACATTTATACACATGCAACAATGACCATAGTTTTGAAATGTAAATAGAAATGTGATGTTCTCTAGCTTTAAGGTTTAATCAGTGATTAAATTAAACCTTCAGTCTAACAAAGATGAGATAATTTTTCACTATATCGCTGATACGGCCCCCCAAAAAGTATAAAATCAGTAATTATCTAATCAAAACTACCAAGAAAGACAGTGTACCCAGGATAGGTTTATTCTATGCAGAAAGGCTTATATTATGGAAGTGGTAACATCTTAACAAATCATGAATTCTGACTTGTGACTTGGGATCTCCCCACAATCCGGTCGCATAACCTCTCCCTGTTTGCACAGTCTTACCCTTGTCAGGGATGACTCCAAACTGGATTCCTGGGGAATGCTCGTGGTAATTTAACCACACAGATGTTGACAAGTTGCTGTTCATATGTTCAAGATGATGTTGTATTGCTCCTTTGTGACCCTGGGGAGGGCCCTGTGTCCAATTCTTATTATCCCTTTTAAAATATGTTTGTTTTTCATTAACATACTCATAACTTACTTTCTTAACTCCATAGACACTTTCAGAGAACCTATTTGCCTAAAATTTTGAAAAAGTATTACAGTTATGTGAAGAATAGTTCTTTACCCTAATATTATCATATGTAGTGTATGTCAAAAGATATCAGGAAATTGATGTCTAATAGTCCCTAGAGCTTTAAATACTCAATAGTAATAATCATGAATAATCATGAAAATGTTCCTTTTCTGATTTCCTGTTGTTCTCTATTCCCAATTACATTTTATAAAATGTAAACAATTACAGCTGTAAGTTCCAGTAGGAAAAAACATAATCGAATGAAATATGCTTTTTTTTAACTTCATGTGTACATTGTAGTATTTTGGTTAATAGCCCTCATTACGTAAGGTCAGCAGATATTCACATGAACTCTCTTTACACGTGGTTGGCAGAAGGGATTCCAAGCTGAGAGGAGAACAGCAATGCTGGATGGAATGCTGGACCTGCCTTCCAGATGCTCTCATTTAAGATAAGAGACTTCCGCTTTAGAAAATTTATGTATATATAAATATATATAAGGGGTAGATACATAAAATAGTGCCCTCGTTTCTCCTCTATTGACAATAAAGGTACCATTTCCAAGTTCATAGAAGCCACACTCAGAGTGTTTTCTAAACTAAAGTGTATTTATTAGTAAGTGGAATCTGCTTAGCCATCTTTAGTTAGAGAAGACTTTGGCTTAGTGACTTGTGGTTGTGTAAATGAAAAGCAGTTATTGGGAAATATATTCACAAAGACAGGGCTTTAAAGTCACAAGAATCGTATGCATCAAAAATAGTATAAAATTATTATAATTCCTCCATCATCACCAATAAACATATATAGAGAAAACCTAGAGTGACTGGCTCTGGACTTTACATCTTAGGTTAAATTTGACTTCATGTTCTCAATGCCCTGTAATTGTCCAAAATGTTTTCTGTTAATTTGCCTAGTGATTAGAGTGCTTAGAGTGTCTATGATTTAAAAAATTTTTAAACTAATTCTGATGAATTAATTATAATATATAAAAATGGAACTTAGTAGTTGTGAACTTAGGCTCTGGAATTGAACAGAAATGCTTTAAAATACTGGTCTGCCACATGAAAATTACATAACTTGGACTAGTCACTTGCCTCTTGGGGCCTCAGTTTCCTTACCTCTAAAATGGGAATAATAAAGATTCTTCTCATTGGTTCATGATGATTAATGAGCTAAAAAATGCCAAAGGCTTAATACTGGCATTTCTTACATGCTCAGTAGGGCTACCTGTTTTTTATAACAATAATCTTAGTGTTACAGAATTTGGAGGATTGGGGTTCAGTACTAGAGTTTGAAATCAGGGTCTTGCTCTTGCTAGGCTTGCACTCTCTAACTTGAGCCACTCCAACTCTTAGGGTTATTTTAGTTACAGAAACCCACTTTCTTAATTTGTTTCCTGCTAGTAATGTGTTTTTGAAGTATGGTGTTGCTTGTGAACACATACAAATTGACCTTTATTGTTTATGATTGTTGTTTTTGCTTTTGAAACTTTGTGGAAAAGTGACATATTGTTAGCTCAGATTTTTAAAATACACATTTATTACTTTCCAATACATGAATTTTAAGACACTAAAACCCCTTAAGGCACTTTTCTTTATCAGAATTTAATAAGTGGGCATACATTCTAGTTCATAAGTAGTGAGGAATTTGTCCATTGGCAAATTTTGTATGTAGTGATTTTTTTTAATCCTTCAGTATTTCTCTAACATATACTTTCTCAGCCTGTTTTTCTTTTCCATCAAATTCTTACATTTTAGTTAATTAAAATCTTCTTATTCTTAGAGCTGTTTTCTGCACATGGATGTACTGCTTTTCTTTTTCCAATATTATGTTAGTATGAGGAAAGAATCTCCTATATGGTTACCTCCCCCCCCCCATTTCTGTTTAAGGCAAAAATAACGAAGGAAAACTGATTGACTTCAATGATTGAGAGGTCTTTTATAACAGCTGTTCAGCACTAGATTTGTTCCCACTCTGGTTGTACACTGGAATTTCCTAATGTCTTCAAAAATTCTGATGTCCTGACCATACTTCAGAATAATTAAAGCAGAGCTTCTGTGGATGGAACCTGGAAAACAGTTTTTAAAACTCAAGTGACTGAGTTTTAAAATGTGGATGCAAATGTGAGACCTACTCTAGGAGAGTGTTGTACAACACAATTAGGTTAGAACTGTAGTAGGAATAAGTGGGAGAGGGGGAATCAAGAAAGGAAATATAGACAACTATTTTGAAAAATTTTGGTGGTGAAAGGAATAAGAGAAATGAGACTTATTCAGGTAGCAGGAAATGTAGCTTTGCTCATGCTACACATGCACACACACACACACACACACACACGGATATTTGTACTCCTTTAGGGCAGTGTCTCAACAATTTCATTTGGCAAAACTTTTGCTCTTTGCAGAAGTCCTGTGTAGTGTTGATACACTTCCCTGCCTTCTCTCACAATCCTTTCTTCCCCATTGTACCACCCTTCTCCCCCCACCAGTGGGCCATGTTGTCCTTTTCTTTCCTAAACCAGGTAGAAGATAGTAAGCATCATATACTTGATCTTAGAGCTGACTTCTCTCATAGTAGCCAAATGTTTCCAGGAGTTCTAAGCAAGAGTTGCAGAATTACCCTGATTAGATAATAAAGGTCATAATTCCTCAACCTCTGCTGAGGCCAGAAATATGAAACATGCTTGTTTTTCTAAGTCAGTAGAGGCTGACCCTTGAGCTGGGGGAAGTGTCAGTTTTTCTTAGAATACATGGGAAGATGGTTATGGATATTGGATGGGCAGTAAGTATTGTACGCTACAAACTTAGATGTCACAATGGTTCACTATAATGAATTACTTTACATATGCAAATTATTGGAGCCTTTTTTATCAGGATAGTTTTGAATTGCATACAGAACATACTATGTCATGGTATTTCTCTGCACATCAAACATTTGGGGGAAAAAACTCATCTTTCTGTGATAGTTTAGAGTATAGTATGACAGATATCAAATTATAATTTACTATGACAAATGTGATTTATACACTTAAACAGTGTAGCATGTACCAGTCTGAATCATGTCTTAAAGATCCTGTTTGTGAAAACTCATTGCTTCACAAAGCTGCCATTGTGGCAGAATATAGCAATTCTTCATTGCATTTCTGGAGATTATCAGGCAGATACATGGCTGTCCTTTTCTAGTTATTCTATTATAGAAAAATCCGGTTCTTAGGCATGTCACTTTTAAGGACCTACAAACTCTTTGTCTAGAGAATGGAACAAAGGTCAAGAAGACTTTGAAAAGATTGTCAGAGAAGCTTCCTGCAAAATGGAGTTAGCAGCTGATACAGAAGGTACTTATTAAAAGGTCCAAAGACTGTTTGTTATATAAAACTATCCAGTTTGACTGTTTGGTATACAGTGTAACCAGCACATGTTGGAGTTGATCCATTTCGTAGTAATGATCATATTCTGAAGAAATTAATGTCCCAAAGTGGTTTCTCAATGGGATAGCGAGCAGAAAACCACTTGCCAATTTCTGGAAGTATAAATTGTGAAACTTCAATTACTTCTGTTCAATTTGGAATCAAAGTTGGGATTAAATATTTAAACAAAAATGTCATAGCCCCAGTCCAATCTTGAGAGATAATCAGATAAATTTCAGTTGAGTGACATCATAAAGAATACATGAACAATACTGCTCGGAACTGTCAAGGCCATCAAACATAAGGAAAGTT